AATAAAATAAAAATAAAATAAGCATCTTAAAAGAAAAACAAACAAGTTTATTGAGCTGGGCTTGGTAGCTCACCTCTGTAATCCTAGCCCTAGAGAGGACACAGCAGGAAGACTGCCACAAGTTTGATGCCAGCCTGGGCTATAAAGTGAGACTCTACCTCAGAAACCACCCCCTCACCCCTGAAAATGAACAAACAAAAACATCCTCCAGGCTTATCAAAATACAGAATCGGTCCAAGAATGATGTAAAACCTAGTTTATAGCACTTGAGAAACTAAGGCAGGAGAACTGTTGAATTTGATGCCACTAAAACTAAAAGTAGCTGGATGAGGTGGTGCGTGCCTTTAATCAGCACTCTGGAGGCAGAGAGAGGCAGATCCTGAGGAGTTCAAGGTTAGTGTGCTCTACACAATGTTTCAAGGAAGGGAGGGAGAGAGGGAAGGAGGGAGGTAGGCTAAGCATAGTGGCTCATGTCTGGGAGGCTAAAAACAAGAGGATTGATACCAATCTGAGGTCAGCCTGGGTTACACTGGAGTTCAAAGCCAGCCTAGGTTGTAGTGTTGAGAACTGCCTCAAAAAAACAATACCTTTACCACTCAGTGGTTAAGAAAGCCTACTGCTAGGCTCAGCATGGTGGTGCACGCCTTTAATCCCAGCACTTGGGAGGTAGAGGCAGGTGGATCTCTGGGAGTTCAAGGCTAGCCTGGTCTACACAGTGAGTTCCAGGCCAGTGTGGGCTATACAAGGAGACCCTGTCTCAAAAAGACCACCAACAACAACAAAAACAAACAAAAAAAAACCAAACAAAAATTAAATAATAAAAACACAAGATATTTTTCAAGAGCAGTACTCTTTCCCATACTGTCCAGTGCCTTGCAATGACCTGCACTCCCCCAACCTCAATACACATTAGAAGCTCACATCTCAAACAACGGTATTTGTCTTCCTTACATCATCATTGTAGTTCTGCTCTCAGTCATATTTAATGATTTATTTATTTTAGCTGCATTTTATTTAGTGTATGCACATACATACCTTTATATGTGCACATATGCATATGTCATGGAGCACATGTTGAGGTCAGAGCAACCTGTGGGGAACTGGTTCTCTCCCTCCACCATGTGAGTACCAGGGATTGAACTCAGGTCATTAGGCTTGGTGGCAAGAGCCTTTATTGACTGAGCCATCTTTTAAAAAAAATAATGGGCCAGAGGTGGTTCAGCAGGTTCAAGAGTTTCTGCTGCCCTTCCAGAGGACTTGAGTTCAGTTCTCAGCACCCACAACAGGTGGCTCACAACTGCCTGTAACCCCAGTCCCAGAGGACCCATGTTCTCTTCTGGCCTCCACAGACACCTGGAAAAACACGGCACATGCACACATGCACATATACATATATACCAGGCAAAGAAAGAGAAAGAGAAAGAGAGACAGAGACAGAGACAGACAGCTGGGTGTTCATGTCTTTAATCCTAGCACTCAGGAGGCAGAAGCAGGTAGATCTGAGTCTGAGGCCAGCTGGGGCT